AGGAACGCAGGGGTTAAAATGAGTAGACTTAAATGCTGTTCAACTGCTGGTGCATGGAGGAGAATGCAACCAAATAATGAAGCAAAGCATATGATCTGTTGAATGTAAAACTGATGATCTGCCCTGTAAACTGTGATTCAATTCACAATAAAAAGTTAAAAAAAAAAAAAAAGCGACTAAGAGAACGAAACTCACCAAATACAATGCACAGGAATCAAACTGACTATTTCGGCATGAAAAGACAGTTGAGAAACTCAGTATCATCAGTCAAAACAAGACAAAGGGCCAGTAGTGGACAGACTACCAATTATTTCTATACAAGTTCAGGCTTATACTGAAGAAATTGAAAACAATTCCAAAGAGCCAAAATATGACCACCTGAATTTGGAGACTATCTACAGAACAGATCTTATGCATTCCACACTAATGACCTAAGACCAGAAAAGTTATGAGATGGTAACAGGAACATTATTATATAAGAAGAAAGCAAAAGATCATTAAAATGACAGGGAAGAAAGAAAACTCCAAAGTGGATATGAGAAGAGTCTCTGAAACTTGCTCTTGAGTATAGAAAGTAGAAGGAAAAGCAAAACAACAAAATGAAAACAGGTTACCAATTAACAATTTATAATGAAATTAACTATAAAGCAACAGGCGTAGACACAGAACTTCCAAGTGGCAAGGAAGTCAAGTAGATTTCAAAAAATTACAGGGTAACTTCAAGGAAAAATTAACTGTTTATCAAAATAGAGACAACCAGAAAGATTTCGTAAGCAACAATACAATAAAAGGTCCAGGGTCCAAGCTCCCTGGCAACCCTATACAGAGTTGCTATGGGTCAGAACTGATGGCACTTAACAACAGGAAGGTGTGGCACTACAGGATTTGGGTGGGTGGTTCAAAATCACCAGCTGCTCCTGGGAAACGCTATAAAGGGTAGGTATGTATGAGCCTGAAAAAAATAAGGGATGTGGGGAAATTGAAATCCTTATCCATTTCTTACAGAAATGCAAAATAGTACAGCAGCTGCGGGAAAGTATAACAACTTCACTGCTATTCACTGTGTTGCTGTTGTTAGGTGCTGCTGAATTGGTTTTGACTCAGTGAACCTGTATAGGGTTTCCAAGGAATGACTGGTGGGTTTGAACAGCCAACGTTGTGATTCAAGCTGACCTTGAGGTCCAGAGCTTTAAGAGCCACTGCCACACCAAGACTCACTACTTTAGGTTTACTGTAGTACTATTCATAATAGCCAGAAGGTGGAAACAACCTAAATGCTCATCAACAGATAAACAGATAAATTGTAATACAAACCCACAATGGAATACTAGTCAGTGACTGAGAAAAACGAAGCCTCAACACAATAATGTACATAACCAGAAGACATTGTAATAAGTGGAGTAAGTCAAAAAGAACAAATATTATATGACCTCACTTATATAAAAAAGGCAAGAAAAGGCAGATACATAGAGACCAAAGTTAATCAATAGGATGGGATACCAGGGATGGGAAGGGAGTCCTGGTGTGGCAGTGTGGGTTTGAACTGTAAAGGCGGTGGTGGTTCAAGCTCACCAGCTGCTCCCTCAGAAACGCTACACAGGGTCACTACTGAGTCAGAACCAAGTTGATGGCACTTAATAACAACAAAGGGATGGGATGGAGGCAGGAAGGGGAAGTTGTTATAGAGTACTGAGTTTCAGTTTGCTGCTGTTGATAAATGCTAAGACAGTTTTCGGTTTAGGGTGACAGATGATTAAGGGGTAAGCTTGAACAGCTGATTATCGTAACTGCTGTTAATAAATTGTACATCAGTAAAAAGTTGAATTGGCAAAAGTTAAGGGATTTACAGTCTCGACATGTACTCTAAATATTTATGTGCTATGAAACATGTCTTGGGATTTGGTTGGTTTGGAGGTTTAGGGTCATGGTTTCATGGCACCTCCCAGTTAAACGAACTAACAACATGTGTAGTGCTTTTCTTCTACTTGTTTTTAAATGCCTTGAGTTGGTTCTGATTCATAGTGACCCTGCATAGGGTTTCTAAGGAGCGGCTGGTAGATTTGAACACCCAATCTTGCATTTCAAACCAACCTTGAGGTCCAACGCTTCAGTGCCACACCAGGAGTCTGGACTTCTAGTTAGTTGGTCTTAAAAGTTTACAAGTACCCATCTATTCGCCTGGAGCAACAAAAAAAGACTCAGAAAAGGGAAGATATAGAACACATACCTAATTATACCTAATTGCCCTCGTGAACACCTGCTTTCTTTGCCATGAAACCAGAAAAAGTGGATGGTACCTGGCTACCATAATTGAACATTTTGATGAAAGATTCTACAGAATCCTGATCAAAATGGGGGAAAATGCAGAATAGAATTCCAAATTCTCTAGGACTCAGCTAGAACTGCCTTATGGTTCTTGGCTTTATATGGAAAGGAAAGAGGCCCTGAATAGCCAATAGCAATCTTGAAGGACCTACTTTCTTGGTTTCAATAAATAGTATATAGTTACAGTAATCAAAACAGCCTGGTACTGGTTCAAAAAGACACATCCAAATTCACTGCTGTCAAATTGATTACAACTCTTAATGAGCCTTTGTGGCTTGAGACTAAATGTTTATAGGAACAGACAGCCTTAGCTTTCTCCTGTGACAGACACATAAAATCAAAGAAACAGAATTGAAAGTTCAATAAATGGACAAATGATTTTCAACAAGAGGTCAACGGTCAAAACCAATAAAACTGGATATGTACATGCAGAAAAACCATACAGGACCCATACCTAGCACTATAAACAAGAAATCTATCAAGTTCTTCACATAAAACAGGTAAAGCTAAAAATTATATTATAGATTATCAAATACAACTACAAATGCACGAATACCATGAATGGGACTTCATTAAAAATTTTAAGTTATGCTTGATAAAAAGAGTAAAAGGAACCTAGAGAGTGGGAAAAACATATCTGATAAGACTAATATTTAAAAATATATATAAAACTGCAATGCAACTACAAAAGGACTAATAATCCAATTTTTAAATCTGCAAAAGACATGAAAAGACAAAACCTTTACCAAAGAGAATATTCAAGCAACCAGTAATATATGAAAAGATAACTACTGTCATTAGCCACTGCTTTGTAATGTCTAGTTTATTCTAACTCATAGTGACTCAGTTCTCTAGGCTGAAATCTCTTTGGGAAGAGACAACCAGGTCTTGTCTCTCTTGGAGTGACTGGTGGATTTGAACCACCATCCTTCCAGTTAGGAGATGAGTGAGCCCTTACAATTTTGCCACCAGAGCACCTTCATTAGCCAGGAAGTCAGAGTTGTCTCTCTTACAGAGTGTAGAAGTGCCCATGAGTCTCCAAGGATATAATCTTTACAGAAGCAAGCCTGTATAGGGTTTCTGAACAAGCGGCTAGTGGGTTTGAACCACTGACCTTTCAGTTAGCAGTCCAGGGCTCATTCTCTAGATGGCAGTATTGTTCAGTGCCATGGTGTCAGTTCAATAGTGACCTTGTATAGGATTTTCTGAGACTTTACATCTATTGCAGGAGCATAAAAAGTCTCATCTTTCTTCTTTAGATAGTAACCACTTTTTGTAAATGGTAATGGGAAAGATCACACTGAATGAGGGTGAAGTTAGCACAGCTTGACTTCTGTTTATGATATCCTTAAGACACAACAACCCCCCATAATACATACCTATAGATAGATCAAATAGGAGCTACTTACTGATGCACATACTTCACAGCCATAATCATATCACATGACCTTGGGGTTCACAGTCTCATGGGTCAATTACACTAGAGTTCATAAAGTTCACATTATACACCCCAATTTGGTAACTAAATCTGAGGTCTTAAAAGCTTGTGAGCAGTCCTCTAAAATACACTACTGATTGCTACTAATATGGAGCAAAAGAGAAGGAAACTGGAAACCAGTTAACAGGTTTAATAGCCTACACCAGCCATAGCTTCATTTATCCTGTGAATAGAACTAGGCTACAATAGAGTGTGAAGAAAAGCACAGAACAAAATTCGAATGGAATCAATGTCACTGAACATTGTGTATAAAAACTGTTAAATGACAAAACAGTTTTTCTACACCTTTCTGTTAGCAGCCAAGACTCCTATTTTCCCAGCAGAGTTCCTTGTTAAGGCAAGTATGCCCCAAACATTGCATGGTATTGTATCAGGTATTGTTTATAGGATTCAAATGTAACTAGGTGCCTTGTATTACACCTGTCAGTCTTACTCTCAAAGTTGGTTTGAACCACAAGGTTGGCAGTTCAAGCTCACCAGGTGCTCATCAGAAACCCCACACAGGGTCGCTGTAAGTAGGAACTGATTTCACAGCACTTAACATTATTTCCTTAACAGAATAGGTTTAGGCCCACTCAGCATGGAAAAGGTCTAGATTCCAGCCCAGAAAGGGTTAAGGGCTATGGACAGTAAAGGAAGAAAAGCAGCTATGGACAAACAGGAAGAAAAGAGTCATTCTGTTTTTAAAAATACTACCCCCCTGTGAGCCGAGCTAAGGTGCTCCCATGTTAAATATTATCTCTAGGGTAGGTCTCAATATACTACGCCTTTATGAAAAATGGTTAGTCTTAGAAAGATAAAGAAGTAGAGAGCCAAGGCCGTATTAGTACACAGAATGTGTCTCCTCCTCAAGACATGCAGCTAAGAAGTTCTGAAATTTTATGTACAAAATCCAAAAAGTAGAACCTCTTTTTGGGCTTACGGAACTGGGCTGTGGTGGCTTGTGATTTTTATTACTATTTTCTCATCAGAACTATACATCTTAAAAAAAAAAAATGTATTCTTCAACCTCAATCCCAAATTATGAGGTTCTGCTAAAATACCCAGATACCGTGAACAATGTCCAAACTTTCCTAACAGTATACAAGTTGGTGGCTATTATTTTTTGAATTTGGAATGGTCTTAGATTTAGAAAGCAATAGTTTTGGAACATATTTTAAAATAGCTCCCCAGTTACCTGAAATATTAGGTTTATCTTTCATTGGTGAATAAACAGAAAACATCCACTGCCCTGATGATTCACAAACCTCCATATCTTTTACAATTTCTTCGCTGAAAAACAAAGCAAAGGATTTTTTTTTCATCTGCTTTAAAAAATCTTATTGTCTACGATTTTCATTTTAAATATTTAACAATTTTTCATTTATGGTTATAAACAGTACTAAAGTAGGGATGTTAATATTTTAGTTAATACACCAAATGATTAACTAAATGCAGCCCTGAAGTTATGAACATATTATGAATGTGTTATAATGCAGAATTTCACTTACAGTAGTTTCTTTTCATCCTTTTGTTCTTCAGAGTTAAGTGACGCAAATGAGCTCTGAGACAAGGCTAATTCACTGCTGCTTCTGCTAGTTCCACCCTGGAAAGAACCTACTGATTGCTTCCCTTGGTCTCTGCTGCCCCCACATGGAGCAGATCTGGAGAACCTGGATGGCTGGATCACACTGGAGTTTCTCTCACTAGTGGCATTCCATCCGCGCCTGTTACCAACTAAAGTAAACAACAAAGTACAACAATTTTAATCTGATCTCTTTCTAACAATATTTTTTTTTAAATCTCCACAAAATTGTCTTAATATATGTAGAGATTCAATATATTTCCACTCATTTTAACTGACAATTCAATTTACATAGTAAAGTATATGATCAACAAATCAAATAATTGTGTAAAATTACATTTCTGTTTAACAAGACTGAGAGGATGTAAACTTCCAGAAAAATAGTATGGCTAAATTAGGCTGATATAAACATTTTCAAACCCCCTCTCATATAGGAGTACTGGTATGGCGCTATGGGTTAAAGTGCTGGACTGCAACGTCAGTTTGAACCGCAAAGTCAGAGGTTCAAGCTCACCAGTCACTCCTTGGAAATCCTATATAGGGTTGCTATGGGTCAGAACCAACTTAAATGGCACTTATAAGCTAAAAATGACCAATGAATATGGTGGATGTAAAACATCCTTTTCTTGAATGTTAAATGCCATCAAGTCAATTCCGACTCATAGTGACCCTGTGTAGGGTTTTCAAGCAGCAGCTGATGGATTTGAACCTTCAAACCTGCAGAAGAGAAAATACAGTAGGTGCTTTGAAAAAACAAGCAAATATGTTACCACCAACCTTGCAGTTCAAATGGCTTTGCAGTCTGGTGCATTAACCCACAGCGCCACAACAGGACTAACCAGAGGCAAATTGACTGGACTCACACCACAGAATGGCTAGATGGGCCATTGTTGATTCATTCAACAACCCAGTATAGGATGCATGGGAACACTGAATGGTTTAAAATGAAGAAAGGTGTGCGACAAGGTTGTATTCTTTCACCATACTTATTCAACCTGTATGCTGAGCAAA